ACAGCATACTCCAGAAATGGATGGAAGCAAAACTCCAAGGGCTGTTGAATCGAGACAAGCTGCCTAAGATATATAGCAACAAAAATATCAAGAACCTCATCAGCCTAGCCAACAGAGCAATACAAGACATCAAACAAGACTACTCTAAACCAATGGACCTCACATCAATTAATAAAATATGTTATGCAGCAACTACAGTAATCATAGACCTGAGTTGCGCCAAGAAAATAAAAAAACAAGGAAAAAGAAAACAGCCCAAATGGAAGACAGACATCGAGAAGGACATTCTCAAGAAGAGAAAAGATCTCTCTCTACTCACAGAAATTGAAAAAGGTACCATTACTAATAAAAGAGAGGCAAATGAAGAAGAGGTATAACATTCAGGACACAACTGACATTGTGGAAGCAAAAGAAAAGCTCAAACAACAGATACAGGACAAGGCACAAAGAATCAGAAGATATGAAAAGAGAAGTAAACACTTCAGACACAGCCATGTTTTTAAAGTTGACCCAAAGAAGTTCTACAAAGAACTTGGCAAGAAACAGATAGAAATCAAAGAACTACCATCTCTGGAAAAAGTAGAAGAGTTCTGGAGTAGGGCTGTCGCGGTTGAGGAATTCCCCCTGCGGTGATTCAGGGTGGCTTAATATTGCGGTATGCGATATTATTGCAGTACTATCTAAACAATGTTTACACATTTAAAAAAGGTTAAAAATTGCCGTGCCTTCTTTAATAACACTTTACTGAATGCAGATCAAAGGGCAGTAACAACACAGATCGCAGTAACGTTTGTTTGTCCGACAGTTGGAGTCCGACTAAACTTAAAAACAACAAAATTCAGAAGAAGGTTAAACTTTTAAATGCAAATTTGGCTGCAGCATCTAACAAATAAGAAACAAGTCCCCATTTTGTTTAGTTGTTTAAAATCAAGCATAAAAAATTACATGTACCGGGCGCGCGCGCGCCGGGGGGCGGGCGCACTATCATTTCACTTTCACTTTCACACACACGAATGACGGTGCTTTATAGCTCGGTCACGTCCTTGTTACCTACAAGGAAAATCAGCTTGTTAACCATATACGGTTTGAGAGAGGATCTGAGAGGGGTGGCAACATTTCCAGCAACACTGAAAACCCTCTCGGATGGTGCGCTCGTTGCACTTACCCCAAATTCCACTACCTCCGCTCCCCTCCGCTCCGGTCCGGCCCCGCTCGCTTCCGAACTCAACTTGCGTGCGACTCTGGCGAGCAAAGGGAATCTCTCCCGGTTGTTGCTCCACCATGTCAGGGGGGTTCTTTAGGGTGGATGCGTTCCTCCTGCAGGTAGCGAGTGAGCTCCAGCTCGGCTCAAACTCTCTTCGGGACGGTTGCAGAAGCAGTGCTTGTCCGGGACTTCAGGAGGTCTCCGAGCGTTTATTATTTATTTATTTTTTGCCGCTGGTGGCAGCTCCGTCTCGGACAAGGACCCTGGCTGCGCAGCAGCTGATGTACTGAAAACCAAAGTGCTCCCAAAGGAGCGAAGTAACGTTTCGTTTTGATACCAGTGCAGCCATCCTTCTCAACATGCATCATTGAGTTGAACCAAGTTCAGTAATCGCGGTGGCCCATGATGCAGCGCGGTGGGCTTCTTCATATTGCGATATTTCATTTTTGCGGTTACCACGACAGCCCTATTCTGGAGCAATGTTTGGGAAGAAGAGAAAAACCACAATGAGGCAGCACAACGTATCAAAGAAGAAGCAGAAAGATTGAAGAGCCGACCAGTACAGGAGTGGACAAACATCAGCAAGACAGAAGTAATACTGGCACTAAAGAAAGCAAATAATTGGAAGTCACCTGGAGAAGACAAGGTACATAACTTCTGGCTTAAACATCTCGAAGTCATACATGAAGATCTTGCAAGAGAATACACAGAAATCATTAAAACACCAATAAGGAGCCCAACCTGGATAACACAGGGTCTAACATATCTGCTACCCAAGACCAATGACACAAAAAACCCTAAGAACTACAGACCAATCAAATGCTTACCAACGATGTACAAGATCTTCACAAGTATCACCACAGAGAGAACATACACCTTCCTCGGCAACAACAACTACCACTAGAACAAAAAGGCTGTAAGAGAGGAAGTTATGGAAGCAAAGACCAACTCCTGATCAACAAGATGATAATGGAAGACAGCAAGGGGAAGAACAAAAACCTGAGTACAGCATGGAAAGACTACAGGAAAGCCTTCGACAGTGTACCACACTCATGGATCATCAAAGTAATGGAACTTCATAGAATCTCACCTACAGAGTTCCACCTGTGAGCCTGCGGCATCTCTAGGACCGGAGAAGTCGGTACCATCGGTCTTCCCTACCGGACCCAGAACCCGAGGCTGTTCAACATCTGTTCAACATCCTCCTCTGACCTCTGGATCCACGACGAGGGTCGCCTGACGGTGAGGTAGCCACAGATTGCGTCTGAATGCTCTTTTATTAAGAACAACTTAGCTTATTCGCAAGCAAATTCTTTTTCACCCAGAACGCGTCCTCTCTCCAAGATACACGTTCTGAGACATTGCTTCTCCTGCAAACAAAACACACTTCACCTTAGATTCATCCAAACACAGGGTTGTTTTAATACCAAAGCCTTTTTAATACCAAAGTCTTCTAATACCAAAGCTTTTATAAATTGCCTTTTAAATTGTCATGTTTTAAATTGTTTGGTAATAAATTTCTTAACCTTTTTAAACTTGGCTCTTTCTCGAAATAAACACAGAGTGGGTGTATATTGATCACTGAACAAGCAAAGATCTTTAGATCTTCTGAATTAACAAATAACTTTTGCTATTAAATTAAATCTTTAAAAATAAATATTATAATCTTTTGATTAACATAGACCAAGCAAGTTGGTGTATGAATTTATATCTATTAAATATATATATATATATCTATTAAATATATATATATATATATCTATTATATATATATATATCCATTATATATATATATATATATATATATATATATATATATATATATATATATATATATATATATATAATAGATATATACATACATACATATATATGTATGTATGTATATATACCTATTATATAACATATATATATATGTATGTATGTATATATCTATTATATATATAGATATATATAATAGATATATATATAGATATATAGATATATATATATATATCTATTATATATATCTATATATATAAAATAGATATATATACATACATACATATATGTGTATGTATGTATATATATATATATATATATATATATATATATATATATATAATAAATATATATACATACATACATATATATGTATGTATGTATATATATAGATATATATATATATCTATTATATATATATATATCTATATATATATAATAGATATATATACATACATACATATATATGTATATATACATTCATTCGTTAATTTGTTTGATCTTCTTAGGAATTAAAACATAAGCTGATAGCAACAGCCTTTAATTCCTAGATATGTAGTTCATTAACTCTACAGCAGCCAACCAGCCCAGTGCACGCCGACTGTACCACATCACCCAGATACAAGAAAACCCGATTTTCTTGTCAAAAATCTTTGCTAACTCTTGTCTTTCATTTTAACAAACCAGTTTGTCAGTGCACACCCAGCTCAAAGCCTTCCATAAAACAGGAAGGGAATAACCAAAGAATGAAGCCTTGTCCATAAACAGACGACAGTAAAGAATCCTCATGAACATGTGTGGAAAAACGGCGCAACAGCCAGTCTTGGGTTATTTGTAATAAATGACTGATCATCAGATACTGACACCAGTGGTGTTTGTGATAAAAGGCAGAAGGGGTGAAGGTTTTTCCTCCACCTGGAAGCTTTTCCTGGTCACGGATCCTCTCTGGAAAACAGCAGGATGCATCAAACAATAACACCCTCTGCCGTTGTCCACTCCGCACTCCGCCTCTGCTACGTCAAGAAAATTCATTCATCTTTTTTGACCCCGTCACTCTGTGCCAAATGAGAATCAGATGTTCTCACAGGAAGGACGGACCCCCGCCCATTCTGCATTGCTGGGGAGGTGGGATAGCATCTGTATTGCGCAGGAAGTTTAACATTCCACCCAACTTCCACCACGGACTCGCAGCTGAGACAGAAAAGAAGGAAAAAAGTCTGGCAGAGCCGTTTCATTACTGTAGCTGAACTTAAAGAAAGAGGCGTCATTTATGTAAATGAGAGCAGCAGAATGTGTTTTATCACCTGCTCTGGATGTGAAAAGCTTTGAGCCGAAAACGCAGCACCACGGATTAGAAGGCATCCTCTGCTGCTGCCTTTTAGCTAGCCTCTCTGTCAAAACCATGACTTTACTAAACAAAGACAACCCCCTCCCGCTTCTTCACCCCACAAATTCCTAGACAACTGCTGCAAGCTTCCTGCTGGCATTTGATATGCTCCATTTGGTTCCCATGACCAAACCCGAGTCATGCTGCGGCTTTGGCTGTGCAGATGAAGGCTCGTCTCGCTGACGCTCACAGGCTTGTCTCCAGTCTGATGTGAAACTTCCCTCCTTCTCCAAACCCGCCTGGGTGTGATTTAAATATAGTTTTGTTTTGGACGCCTCAACCAGAGACTGTTGGTGTTCCAATTACAAGGGAAGGCACCGAGGAGCCTCAGAGGGATCTCGTGTGTAATTAGCGTTGACCTTAAGTGGTTGAACGCAACCTTTTCTTTGAGGGATTCGTTTGGCTTTTTTCTCCACCGAGTTGTTTCAGGCTTCTGAGGGCCACGGACCACATGGACACTCAGCTAAATTCACTTGTGCCGTGTTTATCGATCCAGACCTGGAACCTAAACCAGTGACATTGACACCATGATGGCTCTCTCTCTCTCCACATCCATTGCCCACGGGTCTCTCAGCGACATGAAACCTGAACCAGTCCCCCCCACTCCCTGACCTCCCAGGCAGCACCTCCGCGGCGAGGTAAACTCACCCAGTTGATTCTGTTTTTCCCAGCATGTCGTTACAAGGCCGGATAGTTCCCCGTACTTCTCTGCCAGCTGGAGTTTGCTGTTGTTGAGACGGGGTCGTCGAGCGAGGCTCTCCTCCGCCAAGCTCCGGTTGGAGGTCAGCAGCATCTCCCTGTCCACTTGGAGCTCCTGAAACTGAACAAAAACACAGAAAAATGTGGAATCAGCTTCCAGTTTCTTCCCATTTCCCAGCATGGTGCATATTTACATGACGACTCCGTCATGCATGAGAAATATCTGTGCTGCGCGGCACGTGATGCAGTGAAATATGCCAAGAACATCAGAAATCCACTTAACAGAAAACAAAACGCCTCTAATCCCTGCTCACTTGCAAAGAGAACAGATCTGCAGCTATTCTGATGATGCATCTTCACCTGCTGCCTCTTAAACGTCTGGATGTAAGACGTATTTTATGTAGCTAGGATATTTACCAATAAATAATCATGTTTTAAGGATTATCAGGATAAATCATTGATGTTATAAGCAATAACATCAGTTATGGGCACTAGAAATCAACCATATTGGGTTTTTTACTGCAGATAGCGATGCCGATTTTCATGGCTGATATCCAGACGTTTCCCTGCTAAAACATAGCAGCAGATGCACATTTCTGAACTTGAATCAGCTTTTGAACTCGAAATTTAACCAAATCTTCATTTTGTTCACTGCACAATAATAAAATCAGGCATTTAACCAAAGTTTCTCAAAAACATCAATAAACTGAAGACAATCGTGTTTTAAAGTATTTATTATGCAAATATCAGCCTGATATGAGTCTACAGGTGCTGGCCAGTAAATTAGAATATCATCAAAAGGTTGAAAATATTTCAGTAATTCCATTCAAAACGTGAAACTTGTACATTATAGTCATGCAATGCACACAGACCAATGTATTTCCGATGTTTATTACGTTTAATTTTGATATTTATAGGTGACAACCAATGAAAACATCAAATCTGGTATCTCAGAAAATTAGAATATTCTAAAGGCCAATGAAAAAATGTTTGTTTCTCTAATGTTGGCCAACTGAAAAGAATGAACATGAAAAGAATGTGCATGTATAGCACTCAATACTTAAGTCGGGGCTCCTTTTGCCTCAATAACTGCAGTAATGCGGCGTGGCATGGACTCGATCAGTCTGTGGCACTGCTCAGGTGTTATGAGAGCCCAGGTTGCTCTGATAGTCGTCTTCAGCTCCTCTGCATTGTTGGGTCTAGCGTATTGCATCCTCCGCTTCACAATACCCCATAGATTTTCTATGGGGTTAAGGTCAGGCGAGTTTGCTGGCCAATCAAGGACAGGGATACCATGGTCCTTGAACCAGGTGCTGGTGGTTTTGGCACTGTGTGCAGGTGCCAAGTCCTGTTGAAAGGTGAAGTCTGCATCCCCATAAAGTTGGTCAGCAGCAGGAAGCATGAAGTGCTCTAAAACTTCCTGGTAGACGGCTGCATTGACCCTGGACCTCAGGAAACAGAGTGGGCCAACACCGGCAGATGACATGGCACCCCACACCATCACTGACGGTGGAAACTTTACACTGGACCTCATGCAACGTGGATTCTGTGCTTCTCCGCTCTTCCTCCAGACTCTGGGTCCTTGATTTCCAAAGGAAATGCAGAACTTGCTTTCATCAGAAAACATAACTTTGGACCACTCAGCATCAGTCCAGTCCTTTTTGTCCTTGGCCCAGGCGAGACGCTTCTTGCGCTGTTTCTTGTTCAAGAGTGGCTTGACACACGGAATGCGACACCTGAATCCCATGTCTTTCATGAGTCTCCTCGTGGTGGTTCTTGAAGCGCTGACTCCAGCTGCAGTCCACTCTTTGTGGATCTCCCCCACATTTTTGAATGGGTTTGTCGTCACAATTCTCTGCAGGGTGCGGTTATCCCTAGAGCTTGTACACTTTTTTCTACCACATTTTTTCCGTCCCTTCGCCTGTCTGTTAATGTGCTTGGACACAGAGCTCTGCGAACAGCCAGCTTCTTTAGCAATCACCTTTTGTGTCTTGCCCTCCTTGTGCAAGGTGTCAATGATTGTCTTTTGGACAGCTGTTAAGTCAGATGTCTTCCCCATGATTGTGGTGCCTTCAAAACAAGACTGAGGGACCTTTTAAAGGCCTTTGCAGGTGTTTTGAGTAAATCAGCTGATTAGAGTGGCAGCAGGTGTCTTCTATATTCAGCCTTTTCAGAATATTCTAATTTTTTGAGATACCAAATTTGGAGTTTTCATTAGTTGTCACTTATGAATATCAAATTTAAATGTAATGAACATTGGAAATACATTGGTCTGTGTGCATTGCATGAATATAATGTACAAGTTTCACGTTTTGAATGGAATTACTGAAATATTTTCAACCTTTTGATGATATTCTAATTTACTGGCCAGCACCTGTATCTCTACTTTGACTTCATTAAAGAGCAAGTCACCCCCTTACCAGATTCTTACTCAACTCCCACTTCCTGTTTGAAAAATGCAACACATGCTGTTGCCTAGCAGACCGAGAGGGCGGAGCAGCTAACAAATAGAGCTCCGGATGTCACGTGACTCTCAGAGAGTAGACGCCATGTTGGCAGGCAACAAAGGTAAACAAAATGAACGGGATCGGCTTGGATTTTACTTCGGAGTTTACTTCACACTTTTAAACCGAAGAAATCGTTTTATATAGTCAGAAATTAAATAGACTAAACATCTCCGACCCTTACCATGCCCCTGGGATACTTTTTAAAAACGCCAGAAGCTGTAGGAGCGGATTTCTTACCGGACCTGGCTGGGGAACCCCTTGGGTTTTCTCCGGAGGAGCTGGCCCAGGTGGCTGGGGAGAGGGAAGTCTGGGCCTCTCGACGCTACTGCCCCTGCGACCCGACTCCGGATAAGCGGATGAAAATGGATGGACAAATAACAGATTTACATGTAAGTAGCTTAAATCGAGTGCTGTGCTGTTTGAATGTATAAACTGAACGCCAAGAGAAATCACTAGTTTGATTTTTTTTCCGTGAATAAAATAAATATGTCAGGCAGGAGCGTCTCAGGATCTGTCTGAGATCCGTCTCGGTGACACAGATAATAGCAATCCAAAGTGCTTTTTATGTGTGATCTGACAAGTGATCAATCATTGCTTAAAAATTAAATACAGCTTAGCCGGTTAATTGCTGTGATCATAAAACACGTAAACGACAGCACGCAGAACTCACGAGGCAACGTTTTACGTGACGTTTACTTGTTGCTGTGAGTAATAAGACAGAAAAAGCCACGCCAAAATAAGTTTAGGAAGCCCACTAAGAATCGTAATAAAACATTTAAAATAAACACCATGCACAGTTGAGGAAACGTTGGTTTAAGTACCAGATATGAAGCGGTCGCTGCATAAGTGAAAACCTTTACTCTCGGGATCCCACAGCTTCATTTCAGCCCGGTCACTAGCTCGTTTTATTACAATGATCCAACGTTTGCGGCGTTCCGGATCTTGGGGAATCCTGTAGGTGGCTCATTCCCTATGTCGTCCGCATCTGTTCTGCATCCTGGCGCACAACAGGAATCTACCATATTTCCACTTTGAGTTTTCTGACACTAACAAATAGTCCGGCTGCCGGCTTCTGCCTGCCAATATGGCGCAGTTTCGATTTGAACTGTTGCATGCCGGGAGAAGTGACGTCAACTCCCGGAGCTCTGTATACACACACACACACACAGGCTCACAATGACATTGTGACATCATATGGTACCAGCTAACGTTCTAGGGTAGCTCTTAGCCAATAGCGATGGCAGATTTAAATTCAAATGCAGTGCAGAGGTTTTACCTGACAACGGCACAACGCTGACAGTTTTAGGCAGAAAATAAAATTTTTTACTAAAATGCACTAAAGTGCAAAACTATTGACTACACGTGTCTGCAGCACGATTAGACACATTTATATAGTTTATCAGAAAAAAAAGTTGATTTGGGGATGACTTGCTCTTTAAATTTCCTTTTCATTGGTTTCATAATGAGAGCTGGTCATAAAGTGAGGCTTATCGGTGGATTCTCAGGACAAAGAGGCGTCCAAATGCTTTGAAGAAACTGAAAGAGTTTCTAAGAAACAGGTTGTGGAGCTGCTGAGTAACATTTCCGATATCGAATGACTCTGTTCATGCAGGGACACATTTATGATCGACCATATCCTGCAAGAGCTCATTTTTACTGGTGCAGGAGGGTCTCACAGGAGACGGCTGTAAAACAAGCTGTCGAGCTATTAGTATCGAAATAAAAATCCCACCGCGGCCGCGCGAGTCCGCCGTGCAACCCGAGTCAGGCCAGTTTCTGCATCCCCGGAGCTGCCTGATAAACCCGCTGTCAATGACAGACGGCCTTATCATCCCCTGCTGGCATGAGAAAACTACAGACGCATCAGCTCCTAAATGTTAAGTGACCTTTAAGTGAGTTTTATAACTGCGGGTGAGAAGCAGGGTCACATTTTCCACGTCGTCAGCAGTTTCACTCCAGTGTTTCTTTATACAGTGAATTATAAGTAAATATTAACCCCGTCTGAGGAACTGAGAATAAAATAAAGGTGTGATGTCAGCAAATCACCTGATCTGACCAATTATTTCAAAGCTCAATAGCAATTCAGGAATTTATTAGGAAAACTTTTGGTAATTTATCATCACATTGGAGCTGCAGCTTCTTTAGTAGTTTAATTTTTGTATGCGTTACACCAAACAGCTTACTTGTGGACAGAACTGAGACATTAACAAAAGCCAAAGCGGTCTTTGTTGAAATCAAAAGTCCGTAAAAGCCACTCGGTGAACACAAACGTTCACGTTTAGCTCATCTGCAGCTCCTGAGGACAAAAGCATCGACCAAAACAAGGAAAATACAAACGTAAGGCTGTGAAGAAGCACAAAAAGGAGATGATTGTGTAGTGTGGAGTCAAACGCAGCTGCAGCGCTGGTGAGACGATCGGATATTGGGATTTATGGGGGAGGGGTCCGGAATGTCACACTGTCACTAGACCATAAAAAAGCCCATAAATAATTAAAATGAACGCCATCCCCATAAGTCACGTTGAACAATGGAGCCACTGAGACGCTGCGCTGGAACGGCTTCCACAAGAAAACACTGTGAGCCTTAAAAAGGTGAAGAATCTGGATCTTGTTCTCTTTCTGCTCCATCCAGCTCGGCACTCCTGCCAGACAGCTCAGACGGATACTTTGATCTCCTCTGAGAGCCGGTCACTCTGAGGGCCGCCTCGTTGTGTCTGGTGCGGTATGCTGCATCTGTGTCACATGTTTACGGGTCGCTAAAAACAAAGTTTTGAAGGGGTTTGCGGGAGATGTCTGTCTGACTGCAAATTATCTCAGTTTTCCCGACCAGTTTTCCATTAACAGGAATGAGAACGGAACACTTCATTTCCTGCCAGCTCTGTTTATCCACCGATAACTACTGCTGTCTTCGGAGACGACATGTCCCTCACACTTTGATCCGTGGACTTAAAAGGGGAGTTCAGACGGCGGTTATAATCCCTGACACTCGGGGAGCACGTCGCAGTCGGGACAGGGCAAGGTGCGGCCCTGTTGTTGTTCGCTGTGGTTCAACTCGTCTGGCAGCATGAAAGGCAGCAAATAGGCGTTGTTCTTTCAACCCAAACGAGTCTTGAGCCTAACAAGCCTTCTGGAGTCAGAAACCACCAATTAAACAGTCTGAGACAAAACTGACAGCCAAAATCCAGAATCTGTCCTGTTAGCATGGAAACCAAAGGTTTAACGTGGAAGACCAGCTCGGTGTCTGTTATATGGACCACTTGGGAAAACTATAAAAAGAATATGACTGATTCTGTTTTATAACAGATAAAAAAAGAACAAATGAGGCATCTGAAACCTGAACCCATGGAGGATTTCCAGTCAGCTCCTCAAATCCTCTTTGAGCTTTAACGCATCTGAGTTTATCGGCCTGACTGACGCTTCCCTGTTTCAACTTGACCACAAAAACAGAGTCTGTAGTGAGAATGGGAAACATTCCCTCATCCAAATGTCGGTCTGTTGCCGTGCTTTGAACATTTACCTCAGACGACCCCGGTGAATGTGACCTAAATTGATCCGGATGCTGCAGAGAGGATTTTTTTATTCTTCCAATTGTGCCTCAAAGCACCAATAAAAATGTTTTAAATTAAAGCAGAAAATGAATGAGGTGTTGTTGATTCTATGTGAATTTTTGTGGATTAAATAGGGACAATCCGATCCCTAAGAAGGTGATTATTTAAAGAGCAAGTCACCCCCTACCAGATTCTTACTCAACTCCAAATTCCTGTTTGAAAAATGCAACAAATGCTGTTGCCTAGCAGACCAAGAGGGCGGAGCCGCTAACAAATACACACATACACAGGCTCACAACGACATTGTGACATCATATGGTACCAGCTAACGTTCCATGGTACCTCTTAGCCAATAGCAATGGCAGATTTAAATTCAAATGCAGTGCAGAGTTTTTACCTGACAACGGCACAACACTGAGCGTTTCAGGCAGAAAATTGAGCTCAAACACTCTTCAATAGGTGTGTTTCCACTATCAGAACTTTAGTATCAGAACTTCAGTGTAATGTTACCAGAACTTCCCCCGCATGCACATCTCCACTTCACCAGGATAACCAAAAGAGACATTTTCAGGAACAAACAGAGGACCTGACCTGGGGTAGGTACTGGGAAAGTCTCGGCACTCACTGAGCGGAACGTTTGGTTAACTCATGCTAGGGGTGGGCGATATGACTAAACATTTCGTCTGTACGAGAAAAAATGTCTATCGTTTTATATGAAGTTCTATCGTTTACACCACGGTTAGGCAGTACGTCACGATGCACCTTACGGCATGCCCATGCACGCTAGCCATGCATAAACAAATATGGAGGAAGACGGTAGCAGATGCGGATCAGACCAGGATGACCTGCCAACCCAAAAAGAATAGAGAGAGTCAACAAGCAAATGCAGCGTTGAGTGGTAGCGTAAGCACTCATAACAAACTCCAGACACAGACTCTGCAACAGGCGTTTACCCAGGGCTCTCCATGTAATCACAGCTCCCGCAGACGGAAGGAGCCGCAGTTGCCAAGCACATCTGCAAAGGTATGGTTCCAATCTACATGGCCGAGAAACGTGAGCTTCGTGAGTCGGTGCAAACACTCAAGCCAAGATACAAACTATGAATCGAATTAAAAGAAATGACGCTATATCGTTTTCGGGATATAAAATGAGCTGCATCGGGACTTAAAATTTTTGCCATATAGCTCCAGCGCCAACTCACTCTGATTGGTTGTAGCTCAATTTTACATCATCAGACATTGCCCAAAACAACCAGCATTAGTACAATTAGACGAGCTGCTAGTGAAGCAGAAAAGAAGCTAAAGAAAAGAAACAATATTCACTGTTTTCAAATGATCATCACTAAACCCCCAACTAGAGTTAGACAGATGTTGGTTTTTCTATCGCCAATACCGACATGTAGGGGAAAAGGTCAGCCGATGGCTCATATGTACTGCTGATATTTATAGACCAATTTTCATGGCCCATATCCAGACGTTTTCCACCTCATTTTCATGCTAAATTGTCCCTAAAAACATTAGTTGATTAACAAAATTTCTAACGCTTAATCAGTTAACTGTTCAATCATAAACTTACGCATTTCTCAATGTTTAAGTCAGACACCTAAATAAAGTTCATTTTGAATAATGCAGATGTTATTAGTGAACGTAAAAATACATTTAAATAAAATCCTGCAACAGCACCGTGCTGCCCATGGATGAGCCTGACTTTAAGTCAGCTTTACTAAGGGCAAGTATCAGCCGATGCTGGCGGTGAATATCGGCCCGATTTATCGGTCTACCCCCCCCCCCCCCCCCCCCGCCCAAAACAACATAATTCACAAGGCTTTGTCTCATGGTAAAAAACTGTGCGTCTTCTGGTCGCTGAATGACACATTTTACATCACACAGCAGCTCTCCCAGTCCTCAGAATAGATTAAATTATGCTGTTTTTTTTCTGTAGATGCTTTTTGGCACTGATCAGTGACATCGCTCACCGCCGAAGCAGTCGCGATATGCTGACATCTGTGCAAAGTCCTGACAGAGCTGAAGTGGTATGGAGACATAACAGCCATCGTATCTCCTGGTCAATTCCTCCCTCCCAGAAATGACCCCCAAGCCCCGACAATAGAAACACACCTAATGTTGCCAACATTTATATAAGAATTTATAGGAATCACCATGCACTTGTAAATACTTTTTTTTAAATCACATTTTTGTGGCCCACAGGGACTTTTAACTCAACGACTTTGGCTCTCGCCATGAAAAGTTGACACCCCTGCTCTAAATTAAAGTTTTTGGGTGGAAATAATCAGCACTGGGCACGTTAAACCTTTAAAAGTGAGTGAAATGCAGTTTGGTGCATCTCCAGTGGCGAGCTCTGCTGCATCAGGAAGACTGCAGCAGCTGTGGTTATGATTCACCTTCTGTGATTAAAACAAAACATTCATAATTAACACAAAACTATTGAAGTGACCTGCTCCCACGGCTAATTAGCAGATGAGAGACGGCGTGTGAAATCATCAAATTCAGGAAATGAAGACATCTTCATATACGCTCATGTTTCATTACCTGTATTAATTCAGACTACATGGCTGGGAGCTCTGAAGAAAACCAAAGAGGGTCTGCATTATTAAATAATTACGTTTAATGGGAGGTTTGGTTGAGACTGACTGAAAACAGCCCTGAGCCCTGCGCGGATGTGAGTCACAACTGTGGAACCTTCTCTTGTAATCCAGCTGCTAAAGCTCCATTATTCCATCACCGGGTTTTAAACCTCCACCCAGAACCTGACAACAAAAACGTGATTTTCAGCTGTCACCACCAGATAACTGCTCATGACAGCCACCAGCAGCAGGAACACCAACAAAAGAGGAATTCCTTCATCTTTCAGCCGTGCAGGGTGCACGGTTATGTTTCACTGCACACACCATTATCACTCCACCCATGGTTGTGCACAACCATCAGTCCTGCAGCCTGCTGAACACCTTTTATTGTAAACTCACGAAAGAGTTTGGGACCCTCCTGGTCCCTGCATTAATAATGCTGTGGGAGGACATAAATGTATTAATACAGCCATAGCGTAAGTCATTAAATCTTAATATGGAGTGGGTTTAAGGGGAAAGGGTTAAGGGAGTAGCAGCTGTGTTTTGGTTAAGAACATTAAAATATGTGGGGTTTATTTCATTTATTTATGAGAAGAATAGAATAAACTGGACATCACTTGTAAAATTTCATTCAAACTGGCATTCGGGAAATATTAAAGTTTCATTTATTTGTTAAGAAAGCTTATTTGTTGTGTTTCTTTTAACTCTTGAATCTGCAACAGAATCCTAAACCACCAGAACCAGCAGCGTGCATCAGATCCACGAAGCTTCCTGAACGGAGCCACCAGGATGCCCTTGCACTTACAATCACTTCTAAACAAGCACGCCCAACTTCATCTTCTTTAAATCAGGTACCCCGAAGGTAACGCGAGAGAGAAATAACTCGTCACACAGACAATCGATGAGTCTTGAAAAGAGGATTTCCTCGTGCTGACCACCAAAAATGTCATAAACGCTCATTTAAAAAAGAAAATTCTTCCAAAGAGTGTTAAAAAGAGCGATATTAGCTGACACATTTAGCCCACACGGCACTTTGTGTAACAGAAGATGAGATACCTTCTCACTGAGTCGGATGATTTCATCCATTTTGTCGCCGTTCTGTAAGAGCTCGCGCAGCTCCGCGGTGCTGAGAGCTCTGTAGCCATCGGGACAAGGGCTAGCCTCCTTCTGGTTGGACATTTTATCCGTGAAAACTGCGCCTGAAGACGGGGTTTGGAAGCGTGAAGTCCACAGAGCCATCACATCTCGATCACATTGGAATGCGACGCGATCTGCCGCTGCTGCTGCCCGCACTCAGCGCCAACCGGCCACTTCCGCTCCGCGCCTTTCAAAATAAGACTTGTGTTTGCCACGCGAATCAAATTTTATCCTCGTCAATAAAAACAAAAAACAAAAGAGAAATCACTTCATGAGGCTAAAATTAACCAACTAATCAACTGATTTATTGAAATTTTTAAAAATTGAAGCAGTTTTTTTTTAATTTTACATTTTAAAATTAAGTAATTAGTATTTATTTATTTGTTTGTTTAAATATCTATCTTGATAGTTTTTTTAATGAATACTAACCTGAAAAGAAACGTAATGGGGCTGAATTAGCCTGGCCTGCCAGACTCCTGCTCTGTTCTGCACAGAGAACTAGGAAGCATGGGGCTGGCTGGTCAGGCTAGGGCTGAATAAAAGTGTGTACTTGCACCTCCCTTTCACAAACATACCTATGGAAATATACATTATGAATACCACTCATTGTGACTCTAAATGTTTGAAATAAACAAACACACAATAGCTAGTTAGTTGGAGTTTGAGAGTAATCTTTCCTTATGTGATACAAAAAGGCTTAATTTCAAAATAAAAGCACTCATTTTTGCTAAGTGTAGCACATTATTATTATATTTGTTAATAATAGTTCAGCTAACCTTCTCACCTTTTTTTACAATGTTTTTCTTTTTGTTTTTTATTACTTGGCACTAATCCATGAAGACCCTGTGATGGATGAAGAACTGCCTAGTGGGAGAGTGTTTTATTTTATTTTATTTTTTCCTGAAAACACATTGGGATGGTTGGATCATGGATGGATACGTGGATGGTTTTTCATTTAACAAAAAGTCATTGACTGATGTGGTTAAAGTACAATAAACGTTTGTTTAGAATTCGCTAAAAATAAAATGAGCACTGAAACATGACATCGTCATTAGATTATGGAGTCTTCAGAAAGTAGGAGACACCCCAGGCCCCATTAATTACCCCCTCTTCTGTCTGTCTCCATGCATTATGTACAGTATTAATCTAATGAGGACCATGAGACCCCAGGGTTGATGTGCTTTAATCCTATTAAATACAGAATTGTAGAGGAATATGTATGGCAAGATGGTTTCTGATCACTTTGTTGTTCCAAAACGCTCTCTAAGCACCACATTTGACCCTTTATGTGACTTTATCCTTCAGATCTTCTACTTAAACCATCTAGCTTGAGATTTTTAAAGTGTTTTAGAAGATAGGATGGAGCAGCCAAGGCTCCATCAAACCCATTTAGTTCTTCTAGACCCACTGAAGAGGCTTCTCAGTGTTTCCTAGATGGCAAAGACTGGCAAGAAGGACAAAGGTCACACTTCCAGGTGTATTATGCTAATTTGTCTAAAGCTGGGATGAGAATCAGCTCCTCTAAATCTGAGAGCATGGTCTTGAGTTGGAAAAGGGTAGAATGTCTCCTCCAGGTCAGAATCAGAATCAGAATCAGAAGTTTTTATTGCCATATGTGTGCCAAGTCACAACATTAGGAAATTGCTGCGGTATTTTGGTGCAGAAAGTAAGATAGAAAAAATAATTAATTAAGAGATAAGCAAATATAAGAACTAATAAAACACTCATGATAAAATTATTAATGTAAAAAGTGGCAAGAATTAGAGAAGCAGCTATCTACTCCGTGTAGGTTTTTATCTGAGTATTTGTTGAATGGTTCAAGCACAGCATCGGGTCACGTGACTGGGACCAATCAACTTGAGTGGGCTGCCCTAGGATTTTCATTCAAAAGTCCAACTGCAGAGGGGAAGAAACTGTTTTTGTGGCGAGAGGTTCTGGTCCGAAAGGATCTGAGCCTTCTGCCAGATGGGAGCGAGTCGAAGAGACTGTGTCCAGGGTGAGACGAGTCAGCTATTATCCGACCTGCACGCCTCAATGTCCTATAGAGGTGTACAGATCTTGAATGGAGGGGAGTTTGCAGCCAATAACCTTCTCTGCAGAGCGCACGACACGCTGCAGCCTCTTCTTGTCCCTGGCGGTAGCTCCAGCGTACCACACAGTGATGGAGGAGGTGAGGGTGGACTCGATGATAGCGGTCAGGGATGATAGGTCAGGGATGAGGTCCTGGCCCAAGTGGAGGAGTTTAAGTATCTTGGGGTCTTGTTCACGAGTGAGGGAGAGAAGTGCGACATCGACAGGTGGATTGGTGCTGCATCTGCAGTGATGCGGGCGTTGTACTAATCTGTCGTGGTTAAGGGAGAGCTGAGCTGGAAGGCGAAGCTGTCAGTTTGCCGGTGGATTTACGTTCCTACCCTCACCTTTGGTCAGGAGCTTTGGGTAGTGGCCAAAAGAACGAGATCGTGGATACAAGTGGCCAAAATGAGTTTTCTCGCAGGGTGGCTGTGCTCTCCCCTAGAGATAGTGTGAAAAGTTTGGTCATCCGGGAGGGGCTCAGAGTAGACCATCTGCTCCTCCACGTTGAGAGGAGCCAGCTGAGGTGGCTCGGGCATCTAGTTAGGATGCCTACTGGACACTTTCCTTGTGAGGTTTTCCGGGCACGCCCAACCAGGAGAAGCCCTAAAGGAAGACCCCAGGACAGGCTGGAGGGACTATGTCTCTCGGCTGGCCAGGGAACGCCTTGGGATGAGGAGAGGGTAGTCTGGGCCTCTCTGCTTATGCCACTGCCCCTGCGACCCAACCCCGGATAAGCGTCCGAAAATGGATGGATGGTGACAGAGGTCTCCATCCCTCCAAGAACAAAATAACAAAACAACTGAACCTATAGATTTTACACGCTGAAAGTCCTTCTTTGTGGCGAATAAACCAGCATGTGTCTTCATCAGGTTTTAATGCACAAGGCAGCTCCATCAATAAAGCTGTTGAAATCCAATAAGAAATAACGAGTACATGTTGTTTAAATAATTTTCAGTGTTCCAGCTTTGAGAAATGAACAAAGAGGTTTAAAAATGACCCAGACCAGAAGAAAAGTCACTCTGTGTGTCAAAAAATGCACATTTAATGTGAAAAGTTATTTTAACTTTGGGACATTATTAAGTATAACAAACAATTGCACCTTTTTTAATAATACAATTTCAAAATAAAAGATTCATTGAGAACCTTTCATGATCATTCCTCTATTTCTACCAGCACTAAGAAGAATTTACTTCCCCAAATGTGAAGCCTTAAACATGTTAAATAGATGACTCATCACACAAACAGGTATAAAATAGATTTAACTGTTCTTTATGATGTTTTTTGTTCCACAATCTAATTCCACATTTTTGTAGACATTTCTTCCAGTTCCTCATCTTGAATGTAAAACAGCTCAGGGTTTTATGACCGGGCCACACAAACCTGCCGTCGATGACATAATTCAACCAAATCAGCTGCAGCATGGTGCATGGGCTTCAAGCATTTATAAAATAAATGTGACAAAATATTTATGTTCACCTCAAAAGTTTAATCTTTAACCAAAAGACTCAGTTATGCTTTCGCATCATTCTGAGCAGTTTAGATAGTGCACCATGATGTAAACTCATCTATTTACCCCCTTTTGCTTTAAATTTGTTGGTTAGATCCAGGATTAGGAGCTTTTACCTCCAACCATACTTATCTCAGATTAAACTTTAAAAACACAGATTCATGAAATATTCAGCCTGTTTAAACGGAGCAGTTTTCCGAGTCTGTGGTTGAAACGCTTGATCTGGAAGGTTTGACTTCAGAGCATTTAGGGATTTAGTAACTTCAGAGGATTCCGCTGACAAATGCTAAAAACTGCTCCGTTATGCACAACAGCACATCATATTTTAATCACTTCTAAAGCTTTTCTATGCACAAGCACATTTTCAAGACTCTTGCTTCCCCTGATCCTGATATTGCTGATCTATATGAAATAAAGAATAAAAGCATTTATGTCTTCAAGCGGGCCTTCAAAAGGAGATGAGGCACCGTGAGCTACAAGACGGCCGTTTTTTTAAACTCATCATGTAGAGATGTAAGAAAACACGCTGAAATATCGCAGTATTTTGTGTTATTATACTGAATCAATATTTAATTGATTGAGGATTTACATGCAAACATCTACTGTATTATTTTGGTCAGGTGTAATTCAAAGTCCCACTGCTGGGAGGCAGCAGTTTACCACCTCCATTCTGATCCCACAATGTGTCCTGAATGTGTTTGGCCCGAATTTTACAATTTAACTGAGTTTTAAAAATTGAAAGTATTGTCGACTTTTAGTATCACCATATATCGTATCGTCTTGCCTGTTCTGCGATTGCTAGATTCTTGCCAATACATACCCCTAATATCATGTAATTAATGAATCATATAAAACAATATATTCACAAGTAAAATATCACAAGCTATCCAAAAGGCCAAAAATACACATGATGAGCAAAAATCACAAAACATTATAAAACATACTTTTAGCAATGTTACCATTTTTATCTTTTTTTATGGTTTTATTTTGAAAGTCCACTGATTTACACCATTAAAATAAAAAGGATTGCCAACACAACAAATCTCTGCCCAGCAGGATTCAGATGAGTTAAGCAAGTGTGTATCTTACTCCACATCATCATAATCATAGTCATCATCGTACTCTCCGATGTCGTCGTAGTCTCCTGAATCTGGATCTGCTGAATGAGACGGAAGCGTCTTCTCGTCCTCCACCTTCATGTAGTCAGGCTGAAGGTCCGTGCTCTCCTCGTAGTCATGATCATCAGAAAAGTTTCTGCAGCTTTCACCAAACAAACCACCGGATTTAAAATTTGGACCTGGATCAGTGTCATCATCCACCTGCTCATAGTCAGGCTCGTCCACGCTCTCCTCGTAGTCATGATCATCAGACAAGTTTCCGCAGCTTTGTCCCAACAAACCACCGGATTTAAAATTTGGACCTGGATCAGCCTCATCGTCCGCCTGCACGTAGTCCGGCTGGTCCGTGCTCTCCTCATAGTCGTTCTCAGCCAGGTTTTCATAGCTCTGGCCCACATAATTACATGCTTTTATCTGTGGATTTGGATTATTGTAGAAAGAGGGACAATGGAGGATGTCTGACTCGTTCTCCACCTTCACATAATCCAGCTGATGGTCTGTACTCTGCTCATATTCAGGAATATGCTCATAGTCCGGTTCTTCAGCCAAGTTCTCATAGCTTTGGGCCTCTGAAATAACAAAAACTGTTTAAAATTAATTCAAATAACCCTGTTGTGATTATTTCTGACATTTTCTTTAGTCACTGTGGATTTCAGATTAGAAAAAGTAAGACGAAGGGAAATTTTGGGAATCAAGCAGTTTCTTGCCTGCTGTGAGGAACTGTGCCCGAGACGGGAATGGGGGTGTGGGATTCCTGCAGTCCACGTTTCTCTCCTGGTATTTGTTGCTCCTGAAACGTAGTCAAAGCCAACTCAGGTAAATTTGTGTTGTTCATGTTTTATCTCTAGAAAATGCTTGTGATTCAGATTTTCTTATGATTCAACCAGAGGTGTGAAAATATAATTAGTATCGTCAGACGGTTTTATTTACTTTATTCTAGACAAAGCGTGTCCAAACTTTTCGAGATGAGGATCAAAATGGCGATGTTAGTCCTGAACAAAAGGCGCTTTATTATTTTCAAATTCAAAATGCAAAACTACTTTTATTGGTTTTCTTGTTTTCACTTCTCAAAATATGTTTAAAATAGACATATTAGTAAAAATCTAAACATGACAACGGTACAAGTGTCATTTTACATCAACAACCTGATGTAGAGACTAAATTTACAGGTGAGGTCTAATAAAGTCTCTCTGGGCCACACTTTTGACATTGTTTATCACAGCACCTTAATTAACAGACTTGGGAAACCAAGTGGGGATCTCTGCATGCAACAGTTCTTGGCTGGTTTAGATCGTACCTTTCTAACAGAAGTTTTGGTGTCTGCATGAACCAAATCATCAGATTCCACCAGTCTGTTCTGTGGGGAACCCCGAGGCTCTGTTTTGGACTGCAGCTAGAGTCAGTGCTTGAGGAACCACTACACACAGATGTATGCATGGGCTTCAGCTATTGTATTCATAGTGTCAAGTTACTCTTGAACAACAGACAGCATCAGAACCGTCTGGTATAAAGACTGGGCTGCTGCTGAGTGGTCCAAAGCTTTGTCCTCTGATGAAAATAAATTTTGCATTTCCTTTGGAAATCAAGGTCCCAGAGTCTGGAGGAAGAGAGGAGGGGCACAGAATCCACATTGCTTGAGGTTCGGTGTAAAGTTTTGGGGGCCGTGTCATCTTTTGGTGTTGGTCCAATGTGTTTTCTGAGGTCCAAGGTCAATGCAGCCAAGGATGTTTATGAGCACTTCATGCTTCCTGCTGCTGATCAACTTTATGAAGATGCAGACTTGATTTTCCAACAGGGCTTGGCACCTGCACACAGTGCCAAAGCTACCAGTGCCTGGGTATCCCTGCTCTTGATTGGTCAACAAACTGGCCTGACCTTAACCTTCACAAAAGGAAGATGCAATACGTCGTCGTCGTCTTCCTCCGCTTATCCGGGTCCGGGTCGTGGGGCAGCATCCCAACTAGGGAGCTCCAGACTGTCCTCTCCCCGGCCTTCTCCACCAGCTCCTCCGGCAGGACCCCAAGGCGTTCCCGGACCAGATTGGAGATGTAACCTCTCCAACGTGTCTTGGGTCGACCCGGGGGCCTCCTGTCGGCAGGACATGGACGTAATTTTGGGGGGGGGACATGCCCCTCCCACTTTTTCCAAAGTCAAGTTTTGACCCCTGCACTTTTTACCATCCAAAAACAATATTACGCTACATTATATTTACTCTGGTTGAGCTCTAGGACCAAGTGGAAAACAACTGTTTGTATTGAAGCCTGTTTTCTATTAGAGCATACTGTAAAGATTCCCCCCCCCCCCCCGTGCCCCCCCCCCCCAACACACTTCTAAAGTGAAAATTACGTCCATGCAGCAGGACATGCCCAAAACACCTCCCCGGGAAGGCGTCCAGGAGGCATCTTGACCAGATGCCCAAACCACCTCAACTGGCTCCTTTCGATCCGGAGGAGCAGCGGTTCTACTCCGAGTCCCTCCCGAATATCAGAGCTCCTCACCCTATCACTAAGGCTGAGCCCGGCCACCATACGAAGGAAACTCATTTCGGCCGCTTGTATCCGCGATCTCGTTCTTTCGGTCATTACCCAAAGCTCATGACCATAGGTGAGGATTGGGACGTAGATCGACCGGTAAATCAAGAGTCTGGCTTTCTGGCTCAGCTCCCTCTTCACCACGACAGATCGGCTCAGCGTCCACATCACTGCAGGCACCGAACCAATCCGCCTGTCGATCTCCCGATCCCTCCTACCCTCACTCGTGAACAAGACCCCGAGATACTTAAACTCCTCCACTTGAGGTAGGACCTCTCCCCCGACCCGGAGTTGGCAAGCCACCCTTTTCTGGTCGGAAGATGCAATACGCCAGACCCAACTATTCAGAAGAGCTGAAGGCCACTACCAGAGCAACATCGGCTCTCATAACACATGAGCAGTGCAACAGACTGATGGACTCCACACCACGCCGCGTTGCTGCAGTAATCCAAGCCAAAGGAGCCCCAACTAAATACTGAGTGCTGCTCATACGTTCCATGTTCATACTTTTCAGTTGGCCAACATTTGTAAAATCCCTTCTTTTTTTCGCATTGGTCTTCGTTGATATTCTAATATTCTGAGATACTGAATTTGGGATTTTAGTTGTCAGTTAATCATCAAAATTGAAGAAATATACAGTTTAAATGTATCAGTCGTAATGTAATGAATGCATCTAAATACACAAGTTTCACTTTTTGAACAGAGTTCCTGAAATAAATCAACTTTGTCATGATATGACCTGCACCTGCTGTTAATGTAAATGAATACATTACTGGGGTTTGGAGTCGGCTGTTCTCTGCAGCTGCCGAATTTTGTGTTTTCCTGCAAAGCAAAGAACAAACAAGAAAAAATAAAACTTTTCTGCAGAAAGAAAGAAATCAAACAGGAACCAATTCTAAATTCCCCCAAGGATAAAAAATAACACTATAAAATATTCTTATTCATTTCATTTACCAAAAAATGGGTGAAAATGACAAAAAATGGTTAAAACCTTTGTGTTAAAGAGCTGAAATCAAACCGGTTTATGTTCAGTATTTATTTTCTTACATATTAAACAAAGTCTTTATGTGTAGCTTATTTTCTGCCTGTGCGCTGTTTCTTAAGATTAACGTTTGCATCACACAATATTTTGCTCCCTTTCATTGCTCTTTGTTCATTTATTTACCAACACCAGAACAAAACTGCTGCCACCCAGTTTCACCACAGGGATCATTAACGTTTCATCTAAGCTAATCAAATCCAGAGGGTGCCCCTAATTATAGCAATTCATGCAATTATAATGACATTTTCATGGGGGGGGGGGCTGCAAAGCCCTCGGATACAAGTTCTCACAAGAGTGATCGTTTAATATTCTCTGGGTTCTTTGCTTCCTGTTTAAGTTGAAGTGAAAACAAACAACTTCTCTTTTCTTTGAATTTTGTTTATTTTTATTTTGAATTTTGTTTGTTTTTATTTTTCCTAATAAGACTTCAAATGAATTTTTACTGACTGGAAAGCTTCTTTGCTGCTATGATTCTAAAATTAATGACTAAAACAATAATTTCTATTTGGTTTAAATCAGAGCCTCTGAATTTAGATAGTCAGGAGGACAAAGAGTTGAATGGGGTTAGCAAAGAGCTAAAAACACAGTGAAATGACAACTGAAGTGGAAAATCAACAACTTTAAAACCAGAACAAAACTCAGTAATAGACTTTGTTTAACTAAAGATGGTTTTGGTTTAAGAAAGAATTAAAGGGGCATTATGGAAGTTTGACAGTCAAAACATGTATAGAAATAATACATTTCTTCATACATTCTCCTGCAGTGCCCTGGTCCTGTAGAATGAGCCCTGGCATTTTTACTGTGATTGCCTGTTTTTCTGTAAAATCACAGAAAAAGAGAGCTGCTCAGGTCGAGTAGGCTGCTTCATGCGTGCTCACACTCAGGCATAGCCCGTAGCATTTGCTATCCGTAGATTTAGCAGCAGAAAGTGAGGTAGTGCCAACTCAGCGACTTTGTCGCTGTTCCTCATGCCTAGTGATGAACCTAGCTACATTTGTGATGACCCTTAGCTACTTTCTTCTAGATATTCCTGCAAATTAGCAACAAAATAACCATTTTCGCTCCGAACCGTTGTTTGAATGGTGTTTCAGCTGTCATCAAGGATATAAAAGCTACAGATACAAAAGACATTACTGGTGCATTAGCTCATCTAGAAAGACGACGGACTCTTGTGCAGAAGATCTGGGTTTGAATCTAGATGTAGACAAAATTGAATTAGAGTTTATTTTTTACGTTAATGGTATATTTTTTACAGTAAGATGCCCAAATTTTTATTTGAGACTCGCCAAACGGCATTGAATTCACAGATAAAAAAGATGTGGGTTCAACTTTAATTTTAGAACAGTTTTTCAAGCATGGGAAAGGAATGATCTGAGCATGCAGGAGGACTGACCCATCTTAACCCGTTGTCGGCTGTGCGGAAGAGAAAGGTACAGAACCAAATTATTTAATTAATTAGCTGCGCGTTCTCCTGTCCTCTGTCCTCCGGGCCACACACACACACACACACACACACACACACACACACACACACACACACACACACACACACACACACACACACACACACACACACACACACACACACACACACACAAACACACACACACACACACACACAACACACACGGAGCTGACTGTCTCAGCTGTTATTTTCGTTAGGGAGTGTGCACGTACAGCATGCGCGCCTCGTGCACAAACCTACCATTGAAGCTGCCGTTACGCTTTTTGCCTGAGGGGGCAATCGCGAGCATAACAATTCAAAAACTCCGTAAAGTCCCTTTAAACTGTATTTGCAGTTGGTGAAGTAAACTTGCTTTTATGCATTTATTTGTGATGTGATGGTGAGTCCTGCACATGTTGGAGATCCTGTCATTTTAGTGATTAAGAGTGGAGATGTTTTTTTAATATAATAAAACAATAAAGCAGTAATAAATAAATAAAACTGGCTATTTTCACCTGTAAATCTTCTACCAGGGGGCAGCAGACATGTATAAGACTAGAAATGGCAGGTTTCTGATGAAGGTACCAATCCTGATACTCCATCTGGATAATTATATAGCCCCATATCACAACAAGAGTTATCTAAAGGCACTTGACAAGGGAAACATTCCACCTGAACCTACTTAGTGCATTGAGCTCAGTTAATTATTCCATTTGCTAAAAGTTTTTATATAAGGGACCCAGCAGATTGCATTGAGTCACTGACTTGAAACTTTCCACTGGGGCCCCCGGAACCCCCTCTATAACTGCCCCTGCCAAGTAAAGCACATTTAAGTCCATTAATCTAATTCAAGCAAGCACTAAATTTAACTGAAATAAATCTTAGAAATATGTGGATATTTGAATTAATAGTCAAACATTATTATCTGATGTTGCAAATAATTTATTATTTCTGACATATTTACATGAAGATCATCTTACATTATAGTATTGCTCTAGGGGTCCCAGATACATTTAAAAGTTACCTTTTTAGGGTCTGAACACTTAAAAATAATGACATTTTCACAAACTAATCTTTACATACACATCTGCAACTCAACTCACCAATTCAAGATGACCAATGAGGCAGACAGACCATGGGACAAAAAAAAAACAGTAGTTGAAGCTGAGCATCATCCTAACACATGCCCAGAAAACTGCCCTTTGTGCTAAATCTTTGCCTAAAACTTAAACATTAACTATTGAAATCAACTCAGTGTTAGTTAAACCTTTAGAAAATAATTAAAAACGTTCATCACAGCAAATGAACTTTAGGAGCTTGATTCCCATGAGGGATGATAACATATCATGTCAGATCCTACACGTTTTTATTTTATTTTTTTTTTGCCTAAAATGACCAAAACTGCATAATTTCTCAACAAAACATTTGTACAATTGTGCTTTCAGTCAGGCTTTTCGTCAAATTTTAATATCCTACACAACTAAATGTGGTGATGATTTGATGACATAAAGATAAGAAAACAAGAGAGAAATAATTGGTTTATACAAAATATGTCCCAGTTCCAGCCACATCAAGTCATCTAGAAACATTTCTGCCCAGCAGTTTCGAGTTGACTGAGTCACTAACTTTAGTTCTAGTTTTGACCAAATCAGACTTTTTTCTTCACATCAACTTCTCCAAAAACGTTCATTATGACGTCAAAGCAGTTTTACTAATGCAGCTGATAAATCCAAACTTACGTCATGTTGTTGTTGTTACTTGTGATGGGAAAATATGACCTCTTTCAACAAACATTTAGGATTTTATTTGAAATATTTCTATTTTTTTTCCTTATGCATGAAATTGTGAAATGAACTCATGATTGTGCAGACTAATAACACTTAATATGGGAGTTTTTTAATTTTATTAACTTCGGTCAAAGTCGTGAAATTAATTTTGCAGTTTAGATGTGAATGACTTCCCTCCTGGTCAGTTCAGCCTTTAACAAGCTGGTCAGCCACGTAGTAGAACAGATTTTTGTCCATATATCTAAATATATAGTCAAATATGGAAGCCCGTTCCCGCCACTCGGATACAAAATATCTCATAATTTTAATAAATATATACTAAAATACGACAAAACTAAAAATATGTTGTTACCTTACAATAAGCACCTTTACTGTCCCAAATGAATGAAAAGTTTCAATAAGAGCTTTATTTTTGGTCCTTACAATTATGGTGGAAATGATACAACTACATTATGCATCTATCTTGTGGGCAGAGAATGAGGGCATCACACAAAAAGCATAAATAAAAGCATAGTTTATTTATATTTAATGTGAGAATTTATACATTGGTTAAATCAATCTGATAAATGTGCATAATAAGAAAAAAAAATCACTTTTATACGAGGATTTATTTTTATCTTCATAAAGTGCTGCATTTATTTATATTTTTCACACTTTAATTTACATGTCACAGGAAAATCTGCTATAGAACGTAAGAATATATTTTGTTTTAGTATTTTTTTTTTCTGTTTTGTCTCAAATTAAGCATCATTAATCATTTTTTCGCTGCCCCGGACATGTTTTCAACACTTTTTGACAATGAATAAAAATCAAAACACACAAATAAAACCTGGGACTAAAATTCCAAACATTTTCTCTGGTTTTATCAAACATTTCTGCCTCCTTTGTCTAACTGACGTAACTTTCTAACGAAATACTAAAACATTCAAGATAATCGTCACAGTTTGAAAATAATAAATGGTCCGAAAGAGGAGCTGATTAATAACACGGCTTCTGAAGATGTGTGTAAAAAAAATCAGGAAATGATCATTATTTCAGCGGTGGACGTGTGGATGAAACTCAACTCACCTGTTCTGAACATGCATCTGTTGATTAACAGGAAGATGAAGACGATCACCACAGATGAGGCGACCATTCCAAGGATCACAATCGTCCAGATGTATTTGCGTGACAGAGACATCTTGGTACAAACAAAAAAGACAAAATAAATCCCATCCAGCCTTTTTACAAGTGACTTGATCTACTGCTTTTCAGTATGAGAGGCCGGATTGGAAAGAGAAGCACTTCACACTTCCTCTTTCCTCTGTTGACTAAGTCTTAAGTTTATTTTAGGTCCAGCAGCAGCGCTGAGAAAACCTAACCGTCTCCCTGGTGATCTCCAGGGACTCTTTTTGAGAGGAAGTCATGCTGCCTGCACTGCCGGCAGCATGACTGATAATTCTGCTGAGCTGAGCTGTCACTTTGACAAGAACATGAAAAAATGTAATTTAACTGTTTATTACAGCTGGAGAGTACATTTCCATGCTAATATCTCAATGAGCAAATGTCTCTAAATGCTTTTTTTTCTGGTTTATCTTCACATCCCCTGTCTGCCACAGCTTCCTGTCATTTTGTTCCCGCCCAGCCGTGTGTTTTTCAACATAAATCAAAAGTTTTAAAGTGCCATTTTATCCCACAAGTTCCAGTTCTGATCAAATGTTTGCCTTACCTCTTCAGAAAGCAGATGATGGCTCCAAGGGTGGTTTTAAAGTTGGATGGTAATTACATCTCAGAAAAATAAAGACAAAAGTGGAAATCAGTCAGTTTGCAAAGAAGCATCACATCTTGTCTGTTAAAATGAGAAACCCAGTGACTGAGGCTGTACTCTCCCCACCCCCTGCCATGCCTCAGTGACCACAGCATGTGAATGTGACTATTAGAGATATATTACATATACGCTGCCCCGTGAACTCATTTCTTAAAGTCCATGATCATAAATATGTCAGTACTAACCATCGGATGCTTGTTTCTGTCTCAGTAAAACAAATATGAGAGAAGAGGTTGCAATATAAATGTCCAAGGTGCCTTTTTCCCAGTTCTTCATAATAATTCGATGTTTCCTCATTTTATATTTGGTTATTAGCTGAAAGTGTATTTTCAGTGCATCTGCAATTATCTGATGAATACAAGATTTGTATCTTTTTTTTCTTTTGCTTGAAATAACTAAATTAAACAAGAACATGCTTAGTTTTAATTTGAACAATCTTTGCAGGCTGCTTTTATTTTGAAAAACAAGCCTGAAAAAAGAAAAAGTCGTAAGGGCAGGGTGTCAAGTTCTGCAGGTGGAGATGGCAGACCATGTGTGGTGGTGGGTTTCAGGAGGCAGAACAGCAGGCAACGGATAAAAAAATAAAAAAGGTTTAATTGTAGAATGGGAGCGAAAGGACAAACGAACATGCACAAAACGACAATGATCCGACAAAGACAACAACAAGGAGGGCGGTATAAATACACAAGGGAATCAGTAACACATGGGCAGAGTAACGAGGGACAGGTGAGCACAATAAGGGTAATCAAGGCAGGAGAGACACAGTCAGGGAGGCCGGGGTGGATCATGACACAGGGAGGTAATGCATATTTGATTTCTCTCCATACTTGGTTCAGACAAGTACCAGATCATAACCATCGTTGTGTGTAGTTGACAGAAAGCTGCACCGATAAAAACAAATGATTCGTGCTTTTGTGGCTGAAGCAGATAATTCAGATCAACCACCGTCCATCACTGGTGGGTTACAAAGTTGGGCCAGGCAAAAGTAAACAAAACCTCTGATTTATTTTGAAGGCTACTATATATACAGCATATTCTGCTCAACAGAAAAGGAAACATAAAAATAAGACATATTTTAATTAATGAAATATTCTCCTTAAATATTTTGTTCTTGACATAGTTGGATGTGCTGATAACAAAATCACACACAAGTTATCAAAATAAATTACATTTATCAACACATGGAGCTCTGGATATTGAGTCACACTCAAAATTAAAGTGTAAAAACACACTACGGTTAGGTCCAACTTAGATATGTAATGTCCTTAAACAAGTCAAAATGAGGCTTCAGTTAGTGGGTGTGGTCTCCACCTGCCTATATGCAGTGGCGGATTTAGCTATTTGGGGCCCGAGGCGAACACAGACATGGGGCCCCCTTGCACTAAATTTTTGACAATCTTACCTTTAACTGGATTTGTGAAACTCTCCCCTCTTCTGCCACGAGTTATTTTCACTTTTTATTAGTCCTCCTCTTTTTTCCTGTCTTTCTCTCCCTTTGAGCTTCTTCAATATTTGCTCTGCTGTCAGCTTCCTGTCAGTGCTCCTGTGCTTTAGCCTTTTTTTCTCTTCTATTTTCCATTTTGGTCTATGTTTTCCTCCCTTTAAACATTTTCCATTGTCTTTCCTTTCTGCATCCTTTTGATGTTTACATAGAAAAACGACGTCACTTTCAGAAGTGAAGATAAAAGCTTTTTATGTTTATGTTTATGTTTATGTATTTAGCAGACGCTTTTGTCCAAAGCGACTTACAAGTGATAATCGGCATGTTTCCCTCGAGGCTAACAACAACAATAACAACAACAACTTGACATCAATCATGGAGATTGCTAAACACAGATGGACAAATCATTTTTTGAAGCAAGCTGCTTCTTTCTCTTATTGGAGCCACCAGGATAACTGCATTTCATGCTTAATGTTTTGACTACCGCTTCGAGTTTGTTACGAATGCTCCTGCCTCTCTTCTTCTTTTTCTGCTTTCTCTTCTTTGTGGTCTTATGGCACTTGGAAAACAACTATTTGGTGCATTACTGCCACCAACTGGATTGGACTGGAAGGACTACCAACCCCTTCCTGTTTGCGCATCGGCGTCTTAAAGGAATAGAGCTCCGGACCCCACATGACTCTCAGTTAGTAGACGCCATATTGGCAGTCAAAAAAGGCAAACAAACACGGATCGTAAACATGAACATGAACGGGATCGGCTTGGATTTTACTCCGTCTGAGTTTACTTCACACTTTAAAACCAAAGAAATCGTTTTATATAGTCAGAAATTAAATAGACTAAACATCTCCGACCCTTACCGTGCCCCTGGTATACTTTTTAAAAACGCCAGAAGCTGTCGGAGTGGACTTCTTACCGGACCTGACCGGGGAACCCCTTGGGATTCCCCCAGAGGAGCTGGCCAAGGTGGCTGGGGAGAGGGAAGTCTGGACCTCTCGACGGTACTGCCCCCACAACCCAACTCCGGATAAGCAGATGAAAATGGATGGATGGACAAATAACAGATTTACAGGTAAGTAGTTTAAATAGAGTGCTGTGCTGTTTGAATGTATAAACTGAACGCCAAGAGAAATCACTAGTTAGATTTTTTTCCGTGAATAAAATAAATATGTCAGGCAGGAGCGTCTCAGGATCTGTCTGA